ACTCAAGTGAATCCAAGAGGTATGCTCAAGAAAAACCAAGCGAGAAACCTTCTCCCTCAATGACATTGGCTCATGCAAGTACAACTCTACTTACTGCTTTAAGTACTATCACTAGACGTAAAAACATTTGGGTTGTTGATTCTAGTGCTACAGATCATATTATTGGATTTTGGGACTTGTGTTTTGAGTTCGGTCCTTATTTTGAGCACACTCATGTGCAATTGGCTAATAATACTTATGCACAAGTTATAGGGTTCGGAACAGTTACTCTTTTAGGGTCTATTGTGTTGAGGAATGTGCTACATGTATCTGATATTCAGAGTAGTTTGCTATCCATTAAATGCATGGCTCAATAGTTAAATTGCCCTGCTATCTTTGACAAATTTCAGTGTGTTTTTCAGGATTTAGCTTTGAAAAAGATGATTGGCAATGCTAAGGAACTCAATGAACTCTACTACCTTAAAGGAAACCTAAAAAATAAAGGTGGTTTAGCTTATTCTAGTTCTATTTCCAATTCTGTTTCTGCTTCCATTGTTTCGTCTCAAGAAGACATTTTATTATGGCATTTTCGATTATGTCACCCTAGTTTTGATTATATGAAAGTTTTGTTTCCAAATTCCATGACTAAAGTCAATTTTCATTGTGATATTTGTCACTTTGCTAAACAACATGCAACCCTTATCCTGCTTCTACTTGTACACCAACTAAAACCTTCACTCTTATGCATAGTGATGTGTGGGGTCCTTCTAAAATTGAAACTCACTCTAAATCCAGGTGATTTGTTACTTTTATTGATGATAACACTTGTCTAATGTGGCTGTTTTTAACAAAGCTAAGTTGGAAGTTGTTACTCTCTTTAAAAACTTTTATAATTTTGTTCAAAATCAATTTCAAACTTCTATTAAAATCCATTGTAGTGACAATGGAATAGAGCATCTGAACACCAATTTTCAAACCTTTCTTATTGAAAAAGGGAAACACCATCAAACTTCTTGTGTGCATACACCCCAACAAAATAAAGTGGCTAAGAGGAAAAATAGATATATCTTAGAAGCAGCTAGAGCTCTTTTATTAGGCAGCAATGTACGCAATAAGTTTTGAGGAGATGCAGTTCTTACAGCTGCTTACCTCATCAATTGTATGCCAGCCATTTAAAGTCCTCGAGTTCAAAATTCCTCTCCAAAGCTTTTTAGAGTCTTATCCACACTCACATCTCATTAATTCTCTTCCAAAAAGAGTCTTTGAGTGCACAGATTTTGTGCTTAATGATAAGGGTGGGAAGCTTGATTCTAGATCCATTAAATGCCTCCTCTTGGTTTACTTCTCAACAAAAAATGGGTACAAATGTTACTCTCTGAAAAAAGGAAGTTCTATGTCACTGTGAACATTAAATTTGATAGAACACTACCATTCCATCCCAAATTATCCATTCAGGAGGAGAATGATATTGGAGGTTAATTTGTGCCACCATAGATGATCACCTATGAAGCACCGATATAGGTACAAGTATCGGATACGATACGGCATGATATGCAGACACGGCAAATTTCAAAATTTTAAGATACAGGTACGGCTATATAAATAATTAGATATTAAATATTTAGATACACACATATTTTCAATTTTATTATTTCATATTTAAAGTCAACAAGTACAATTTTAAGATGTCTAATGCCATTACAAGATACAATACAGTAAGCAATTAAGCACTTAAGCACTACTAAATGACAAAAGATAATGATCAACTTAAATTAATTCTCATCTTTTTCATATTTATTGACATCACTACTCTCTCCTATAAGTTCTCTCTCCACTGCACAGATCAATGTTTAGCTCAATAAAATAACCCATCTAAAATAAAAATAAATCAGCAACATTATTAGATTGACAATCAATAAGTCAATAATATTCCAGGAAGCATGGATATTTTTTTTAAAAAAAGTAACATTTAAAAAATATTTTTTTAAAAGAACAGCGCCGAGGACTTGAAGTCTTGAATAAATGGGAACACCGAATGCCAAAAGTGACAAAGCACCAGAGAAAAAGATGAAGAAGAACAGCACCAAAGAAGAAGATGAAGAACTTACCTCGGACTCAGAGAGACAGAGCGAGGAATCATGGGCTGAAGAGACAAAGGGCCTTGACTAAAGAAGCACCGTGACTGAAGTGACAGAGCTTGGAGTGACTAAAGAGATAAAGAGCCATGACCTGTCACTGAAGAAGCGTAGCGAGCTGTGACTGAAGAAGGATGATGCTCGGACCTCGGAGAGACAGAGTGAAGCCCATGCGAGAAAGGGGAAAGGATTGACTAGAACTAGACGAAGCTTAAGGCTTCTAATTTCTGGAAATGAAAAAAAAAAGGCAAAAACGCTGAGTTCCGATTACAACCCATGTCCGCCTGTCTCCACCTGTGTCCGACTAAAACTGGAAAAGCGAACGCGCCACATTGGCATCTTGAACATGTGTCCATGTTGGATGTGCATCCGACACAAACATGGCAGCATTTTTCACATATTTGTGCTTCCTAAATGATCATTAAAGTAATCAATCTAACCGCATCACCAGTATTAGACCTTACACGTCACTTAACCCTGTCCAAGATGATACCAGCACCTATTTTTGAAGCTGAAACCCTATTTGACCACCATACCAACTAGGAACAACCTTCTAGGAATCTATGTTTGAATCTAATATGGATGAAACAAGGAAAAATCAGCCTAAACAGCTCACAAATGGTGAAGGTTCCATTGATGTTCCAAGGCAAAGTCATGATTCACAACTTGAGGTTAATCTTGAAAATCTTCAGCGGCCTATTACCATTAGAAAAAGAAAGAGGAGTTGCACTTGACATGCCATTGGATGGTATGTCCCTTATGATAGGCTTAACTCCCAACTTAAGACCTTTGTTACTACTCTTGATAGTGAAGAAATACCTAGAACATTTGAAGAAGCAAATCTGACCTAAAATGGAAATTGGCCTTTGAAGAAGAATAGAGGGCCTTAGACAAAAATCAGACTTAGGAAATTGTTGATTTATTTCGTGGGAAGTCAATTGTAGAAAGTAAATGGGTCTTTACTTAAAAGTACAACTCAAATGAGAGTCTAAATAAATATTAAAGCACAGCTAGTTACTAAAGGTTTTACCCAAACCTATGGCCTTGACTATCAGGAGACATTTTAACCTATGGCTAAATTTAATACTATTAATGTTTTGTTGTCTCTCGCTACAAATTTAGATTGATCACTACATCAACTACATGTGAAGAATGCCTTTCTAAATGGTGACTTAGAAGAGAAAGTGTAAATGGATATACTCTTAGGTTTGAAAGGACTAAGAATGCAAACAAAGTCTGTAAGCTCCGTAAGTCCTTGTATAGACTAAAGCAATTACCTAGAGCTTGGTTTGAAAAATTTACATGTGCTATTAAAGAATTTGGTTATAATCAATGCCAAGCAAACCATACTTTATTTGTACTGCACTAATCATCTATGTAGATGATATTAAACTGACAAGTAATGACACTAAAGAAATTGACAAAATAAAGAAGAAACTTGCTGCCCAATTTAAGATTAAAGATCTCGGCTATCTCAAGTATTTCCTAGGGCTGGAAGTAGCTCGATCATCTAAGGGCATTAATGTTACGCAGAGAAAATACACTCTGGATCTTCTCAAGGAAACTGGTATGTTGGGTTCTAGACCTGCGAATACTCCAATGAAGCTTAGCTGCAACCTAAAAGTAAAACCTGATAGGAAATCAACCAACAAGGAGAGGTACCATAAATTGGTAGGAAAGCTGATTTATTTATCTCATACTCGGCAAGATATATCCTTTGCCATTAGGGCTGTAAATCAGTTCACAAGTAATCCACAGAATGAGCATAGAAGCTTTCTATCATATTCTCAAATACCTCAAGACAACTATAGAGAAAGGATTATTCTTTTCTAAAGGAGACAGAAAGAGTGGAAAAATCTACATAGATGGAAACAAGAAACAAGAAACACCAAGCACTAAAAATGAAACAAATGTAGAGGTTTATACTGATGCTGATTGGGCAGCATCCATTCACAATAGGCACTCTACTACAAGCTAGTACACCTTTGTGTGAGGTAACCTTGTGACTTAGAGAAGTAAGAAACAAGCAATTGTATCCAGAAGCTCAGCAGAATTTGACTATAGGGCCTTAGCCCTTGGAATTTGTGAAGACATAGGGGTTGTACAATTATTAAAAGAGCTCAGCATAGAACCACATACTCCAATTAAAATGTAGTGTGATAGCATGGCTGCCTTAAAGATTGCCAGCAATCCAATTTAACATGATCATACAAAGCATGTGGAAATTGATAGACGTTTTATTAAAGAGAGAATAGAAGCTAAAGTCATAGATCTCTCCAACATTCCATTAGGAAAGCAAGTTGCAAATGTGATGACCACGCCTCTTGTGCAAAACAAGTTTGATGAACTAATAGGCAAGTTGGGAATGATCAACATTTATTCGCCAGCTTGAAGGGGAGTATTAGAAATGGGCCAACTTATCCTAGGCCCATCTACTAGTTTTACCTAGCCCTAATAGGATTTATTGCCAGCATCTTTATCTTTTTGGAAATATTTTACAAATTTATGGGGATTTTAGAATCGGAGTATCTTTCTTAGTTATTAGAACAGATTTGATGTGATATGATCAAATCTTCTCTCTTCTATATGCATGCTCTTCTCTACCGATTGAATTGAAGCTTTTCTACACTGCATATTCTGACACTGAATACTACATGAGAACCATAATAAGCTCCTTAGAATGAAACAAAGACCTAGATCCAACAGCTAAAACTATGAATGATACTGTCACCTAAATATATATGTTCATGATTGTGTGTGCATGTAAACATTGAACTGTGCATGGCAAATAAGACAAACCATAAAATAAACAAATCTTTCATGCCAAAAAATTACAATGGTCAAGGTGAATATTTGCTAACAAAAATAATATTAAGGAGCACCTACCACTGTTTTCTATAAGCTTTGATGTATTTAATCTACGAGATGGCATGGAACTCAATAGGCGCTGGTAATCTGGAAGCAGAGACTGTGAGACAAAGAAATAGAAATAAAGATAAAAAATTAATAACACAAGAATGAAGTATCAAAGAAACTTAAATAGTAAAGCGGCCTTCAATTTCCATATTAAGTAACAGATACATTGAAACAACAATAGCTTTACTGCTAAGAAGGCAAACCTTGGGAATGGAGGCAGTGTTGCGTAACTCCTCTGTTTTACCCAAACTGACACCCGAGAATAGCTCATAGATAAGACAACCTATAAAAACAGAACCCTTAAATCATTCAAAGAACCCTACTCAGAAAGGCAACAGAGGAAAAAGGAAACAACAGATGAACAAATTAAATGAAGCTGCAACATGTAAACAAGTTCACATAATTTAGGCTATCAAACAAACCCTAGCTCAGCGTCCCACCCTCCCCCACCCAAAAAAAAAAGGACCATTAAAACTTCACTTGACACTCAACCAGTGATTATGAAATTAAGCAACGTCATGAATTTGAATCTTGAGGATAGGAAAAAAAAAAATGTTGGGAGAGCTAACCATTTGGTCTTAAAAAGCAAGCAATCGTCTCAAGGTCATCTATAAAAGCTAAATATTTAAGTTTGGAAATGGCTTTGACAACCAATCCTAGCCCACACAAAGTATGTTGAGTTGGATATTCACTTTGCACAAGAGGAAATTCAACAAAATAGCTTGCAGTTACTCATGTATCTTCTAAAGATCAGTTGGCAGATGTGCTAACTAAACTTGTTCCCTATGATCAACATTCTTATCTTCAGTTCATGCTTATTGTTTTCCCTCACACACCAATTTTGAGGGGGCATGTTAGGGTAGATTAGTCAGTTAGGCCATTACATAGTTATTCTTAGTTAGTACATCAGAAACAGAATACATCTTGTAACTGTCTTCTATAAATACCCTCTGGCATATACACCAAAGGACATATCAATGCAATCAATGTTACTTTTTCCATCAGCCATATTATAAATAAGGCTAGGAAAGATGTTGAAGAGAGGGTCCAGGCCCATCATAGCTGGCCCATTATTATGTATTCTAGCTAGTTAAACCCTAGTCTCTAGGTTAGCCATCTTTCCCTAGTATTAAGGGATATTTTACAGATATTATTATCTTAGTTATTATTATGTTATATCTAGGTTGTAATCCGGAGGACATGGTGGCTTGATTCTTGTCTACCTTCCTCTATTTATTCTTGTACGCCCTCTATTCCTTAATCAATCAATAAGAGAAATTACAATTTCCTCATGTTATCAGAACTACAGCTCAAATGGTTCGAAATTCCATAAAATTTAGAGGCATGGTGGATGGCAGAGATAGATTGCACAATGAAGCTAGAAAAAGTGGCATGCATTAGAAGGCAGATTCTGCCCTAACCAGTCTCACAAGAACGGCCTTCCTTCTGCAATCGTGGAGCACAAAATGAATGGTGACAACTATTTGCATTGGTCGTAGAGCATTGTCTTGTTCGTGAGAGGAAAAGGAAAAGAGAAATGCCTAATAGGTGAAGCAATACAACCTGCTGCAGATGATCCCAAGTATGACACATGTTACACAGAAAATTCCATGGTCATGCCTTGGCTTGTTAGTTCCATGAACCTTGACATCAGTGAGTAGTATCTTCTTGCAAAAACAGCGAAGGAAATCTGGGATTCAGCCAGAGATGCCTATTCTGCCATTGAAAACACAACAGCCCTATTTCAACTAAAAAGGATGATTAAAGATCTAAAGCAAGACGATTTAAAGGTAGCAGCCTACTACTCAACATTACAAAAAATCTGGCAGCAAATTGACTTATATGATACACAAGAATGGGCCTGTGAAACTGATCAAAATCTCCATAAGAAGCTGGTAGACAAAGAAAGGACAAAACGGCAATTTAAAGGCAGTAGCCTACTACTCGACATTAACAAAAATTTGCAGTAAATTGACTTATACGATACACGAAAATGGGCAGCGGAACTGATCAAAATCCCTATAAGAAGCTAGTAGACAGAGAAAGGACATATGAATTTCTACTTAGGTTACACTCAAAGTTTGAAGATGTTCGAGGCTGAATAATAGGAACCAGACCTTTTCCCACTCTCCGTGAAGCCTTTAACATTGTCAAGTTTAAGGAAAGCGAAAAATTATTAGCTCAGGGAATCACAATAAACCCTGAATCATTTGCTCTTGTGGTGAGAAGCTCCATCTGACACTAGAGGTAAAAACTAGGGAAAAGGATGGTGTGACCACTGTAAAAGAAGAGGACATACTCAAGAGAACTGCAAGAAAATAAATGGAAAGCCATCCAACAAACACAAAACTAAGCAAAGGTTAGAGCCTCAAGACAATGAAGAACCACATGACTCTCTAGTGCTAGGAATTTAAGAGCAGCAAAAATTGAAACTTGAAAAAGTTGTTGGACAAACATAATCACAACAATCCCATGCCAAAACGCACTATAACTATGGTAATCTTGCTCAAACAGGTAAATATGTCAAGCCCTTAAGGTTATGAGTATTGGAGGAAAAAAAAACTCATGGATTGTGGATTCAAGTGCCACTAACCATATGACAAATAATTCGGCCTTGTTCAATGAGATAAAACCTCATAGTGGGATAAACATAAAGGTGGAAAATGGTATTTATACTAGAGTTATTGGCATTGGCATTGTACATGTTACATATGAGATTGTTTTAGTTGATGTATTATATGCCCTAGGTTTAAAATGTAACTTGTTTGTGATCAAGATTGCCAAAACAAGGAAATGTAGCATTAACATGTTTGCTACTTATTGTGTTTTTCAAAAATTAGACTCAAGGAGGACGATTGGCAATGCTAAGGAATTCAAGGGTCTATGTTATTTGGATTGCAACTACAAGTTAGGAACCAAGACAGTGTTTACTACAAGTATTTCTAATGATGAGTGGATGTTGCTGCATTATAGATTAAGTCACCCTAGTTTCAATTACATGTTGAAAATGTTTCTCAACATGAATAAAAGGAATGTTTCTTTGCATTGTGATGCATGTCACTTAGCCAAGCACACTAGAAATTCTTATCCTCCTTTACCATATAAATCCTTTAATGTAGCCGTGAGATACACACCAACCTATAAGAAGAGATCAAGGGGACATATGGGTGTAGAAAAGAAATACCTAGCAGGTCAGAAATATGCACAGACTTATAAGAGGAGATCAAAGGGACATGAGGGTGTAGAAAAGAAATACCCAACGGGTTAGAACTAATATCCTAGGGTTCCAGGAATTAAAGATTAAGTCATGATGTATGGTAAGGTGCTTAGATTCAGAAAAGATACCGAGGGCACTTTTTGCTTGCTTTATTTTGCTGCTGTTGTTTTGGTTAGGACTCAAGGATGTTTTTGTGAGTTAGATATAAGTGAGGAGAGTGCTGGTCTCTCGAATACCAATGAGGGACCTTGTTCTTGTTTTGTGTTATTTCCTTTTGCTTGTAATTTTTCAATTATAGGGAATAGAGTTTTGGCCAGAATCAGTAAGTTTCTCTTTTGTAACACTGATTCGGTTCATATGCATTAATATCAAAAGCCTTAGAATTTTCCTCATTTATCTCTCTTTTGCATTAAAAGCTCTATTGAAATATTTATTATAGAGCAGAGCTCTATCATCCTCTCATCCTCTCATCCTTTCAACCTAATCCATAGTGATATATAGTGACCATCAAAAATCCCAACTCTATCTAAAACCCATTGGTTTGTAACCTTTATTGATGATCACACTTGGTTGACATGGGTGTTTTTTATGAAAAATAAATCTAATCTATTTGAAATTTTTAAAACTTACCATCAAATAGTAAAAAATCAATTCCAAACATCCAAAAAGATTCTTAGGAGTGATAATGGGAGAGAGTACCTCAATTGTACATTTACCCAATATTTAAATGAAAATGGAATTCTTCATCAAACAAGTTGTTTCAATACCCTTCAACAAAATGGGATAGCAAGAAGAAAGAATAGGCAACTTCTTGAAATAGCTAGAGTTCTTTTGTTAAACCATAATGTTCCTAAACTTTTTCAGGTAGAAGCTGTTTTAACTGCTGCCTATCTCACCAATAGATAGCCATAAAAAATTTTAAACTTCCAGAATCTATTGCAAGTGCTATCTCAATTTTATCCTAAACATCAACTTGTTCCTTTATATCTCAAAGTGTTTGGGTGTGTAGCTTATGTACACAATTACCATGGCAGTAAACTTGATCCTAAATCTTCCAAATGCATTTTTCTTAGCTACTCACCAAATCAAAAAGGGCATAGGTTCTACTCTCCTTGTTTAAAGAAAATGTTTGTGTCTATGGATGTTACTTCTGCTGAAAATATCACCTTTTACCCTAAATCTTCAATCTAGGGGGAGAATTATAGGGAATTGAATGTTTTAGATGATGATACAGATCAGAATGTTATTGAAAATCTTGAAAATACAACACTCATGTCACTTGGGTCCTCTGTTTATCCATCTATACTAGAACCAGCAACTGTGACAGCAGCCTTGCAAGACACTGTGGCTGCACAAGAACCAGAAACCCACTTTCAAAACATCCCAGATGTTGCACCCCTGAATAATGATCATAGTGAGGATGATTTAGCAGGTACAAATGATATTAATCCACCTGTCGAGGGGGAGCTAAGCAACTCACACAAGCAACAGCAAGTGGAAAGAGAAGAGACCCTTGAAATTCCAAGGTAAAGCCATGAAACCGAACCTAATCCTATTCTTAATGACTTGAGTTGGCCTATTGCCATTCGAAAAGGGGTATGTACTTGCACAAAGCATCCCATAAGTAATTTTGTCTCATATAGTATTCTTTCTTCTAATTGTAAAGGCTTTCTTGCAAGTATTTCTGATGGGAAAATTCCAACTTCATATGAGGAAGCTATATTGGATCCCAAGTGGAAGGAAACAATAAATGATGAGCTTAGAGCACTTGAGAAAAACCAGACCTGAAAGTTCACTAAACCACCCCATAGAAAGTCCATAGTTGGCTGCAGGTGGATTTTCACAAAGAAATACAATCCCAACAAGATTATAAATAAATACAAGGCAAGGTTGGGGGCTAGAGTCTTCACTCAAACCTATAGGATAGGCTACAAAGAGACATTTGCCTCAGTTGCAAAATTCAATGCTATCAAGGTACTACTTTCTATTGCTACAAATCTAGATTGGCCATTGCATCAGTTAGATGTAAAAAATGCATTTCTTAATGAGGACTAAGAGGAAGAAGTGTAAACGGATGTTCCTCACAAGGTAAAAGGATTTGGATAAGCGAATGTTGTGTGCAGACTCTACAAGTCTCTTTACAGGCTTAAACAATTCCCAAGAGCTTGGTTTAACATGTTTACTCAATTTTTGATAAAAAAGGATTTGTAAAAGGCATGCTGATCATAAATATCTGTGAAACATGCTGGAAATAAAGTAACAGTGTTAATTGTATATGTAGATGATATCATTTTGACAAGAAACAACTGTGAGGATATTCAATGACTGAAGAGATCGCTAGCAGATAAATTTGAGGTGAAAGACCTAAGAAAAATGAGATACTTTCTTGGATTAGAAGTGGCAAGATCTAAAAAAGGTATTCTCATATCACAAAGAAAATACATTCTCGATTTATTGAAAGAAACAGGAATGTGGTGCAAAACCAGATGATACTCCCATGGTAGAAGGCTTGAAGCTAGAAATCAAGGAGGATGGTGTTTCAGTAAACAAAAAAAGATAAAAAAGGCCAGTGAGCAAGTTAATAAATCTTGGTCACACACAACCAGATATAAGCTATGCTGTTAGGGCAGTCAGTTAGTTCTCAAGTAGTCCACGAGAAGAACGTATGGAAGTAGTTTACTGAATCCTAGGATATCTAAAAAGTTAAAATGAATCTAGGGAAGGGAACATTCTTATGTAGTAACTAAATCATATGGAGAAGCAAAAAACCAACTTGTGTTTCTTGAAGTAGTGCAGAAACTGAAGCTAGGACATTAGCAAATGGAGCATGTGAAGAAATATGGCCAATGAAGGTGCTTAAAAAACTGAAAGTTGGTCATCACTTACCAGCCCAATTGTGGTGCAATAGCAAGTCAACAATGCAAATAATGAGCAACCTCGTCCATCATGACAAAACAAAACATGTGGAAATAGACAGACACTTTATAAAGGAAAAAATTGAAGAAGGCATCAATGACATTGAGCATATCAACTCTAAAGCTCAAGTTGTTGATGTTCTTACAAAACCTCTTGGAAGAATTGGATTTGATGAATTAACTTGCAAGCTGGGAATGCTCAATATTGAGGGAGAGTGTAACATCCTAAATTTTAATTAGAAGTATTAAACAAAAAAGGAATTAACTAGGAGTACTGTGGAGTAAGATTTGAGGGGTTTATGAGTGAATTTGAGAGAGACGTAAGGCTTCTATCCATAATTGTCTGCGATTGTAACCTAATGGATGATCATCGCGAGCATATGAACATTTATGGGAGTAGAGTATACCCTCTATTCACAGCCGCCCACAGTTGTGTCCTTCACAAGAGATGACCAGTCATGTTGAGCATCCCTAGAAGTAGCGTGTGCTCACAGATCACAATCATTAGCGGTTGTATCCTTCACTAGAGATAACCCGTAGCATTTGAGGATAATGAAGACAAAATGGGGTAAGTGACTTCGACCGCAGGCGGATGTGTTTTATAAGGTACACAACCATCCATAGTTGAAATCGCAAAATTGCACTTTAAATAGTTGAAAAACACCAAAAAAAAATCAAAGAGAATGAAGAGATAAAGAGGGAGCGATGAAGAACATCATTTTGCTCTACTAGGGAACGCGTGATTTGAAGGTTAAGGGGTATTTAGGAGCTATCAAATATTTAGGATAAGTTTCCTAAGCTCTTCTCTTCCTTCCTCTTCTTCTATTAGGAGTTTTTGAGTTAGGGCTTGTTATAGGAGAATAATTTTCGGACTTATAGGGTTATGGGTCCAAACCCATTGACTTAAATTGAATTAATAAGAGTTGTTTGAACTATATAAACCTAGTATTAGTGGTTTTGTATGTCCATGAGAGTGGACTCTTATAAATGAACGAATTTATGCCCTAAAGAATGGTGGTAGTTGAGATGGTTGGGTGCCATTAATGGTGGTTTAAGAGTTAATAAAGTTAGCTGGGGCTAACGGAAGTTAATAAGCCTAAGAGTAGTAATTAATCTCAAGAATTAGGAGTTTTGAGTGTTTAAAATGTTGACTATGAGAGTTGAAAGTAGGATTATGATGATATTAATGGTGACTGGTATGATTGATTGTAGGTTATTCATCTTGTGCATCGTTTAGGTTGAGATTAACCTTGGAAGCGAATTGTGTTTGAAGGATAAACCTTTGACCTCTCAAAAGTTTGAGATAATCAAAAGAAATCTAATTTACTCGTTTGCTTGTTAGTTGATTGTAGAGTTTTATAAATATATTTTTAGATATGTGAAATCAAGTTTATAACTACGAAACTATGGCATATGTTTTTTAAAAGAATGAATGCAATCAAGGAATTGAAATTGTTGATTGATGTGATTTTGAGAAAAATGTGATTTAATAGTGTTGTACGGTAAAAAGCTTTGATTATTAGAATAATTTATAACTATAAAAAGTTTGTATGTGAGTTGAGATTGTTTTCTTGAATTGGAAGTTGATGAAGATTATGATTGCGAGAGAGGACATGATGAAATTAAAGTTCGTGGAATGTAAATGCTTCGTATATGATGTGATGTCAATTTCATGTCATTTGAAATAATGAGTGTCAAATTATGTTGTGAAATATGCTAATTTGAGTGTGAACATATGGCAGGAAATAGTGGCACGGTTTAAGTATGTAAGCATGTATATTGCATGATCATGATTGACGAGAGTTCACCTAAGGAGAGAATTAGATATAAATCTACATGGTATGGCTGTCTTTCAGTAATTAAAGGCTAACCTTTATCCCATTATTTGTCAAGGGACTTGAACCTATCTTGTCTCTACTTGTTCTTTAAGGAGACTAGCTTAGGAATAACAACACCCCAAGAATTTGACAATAAGGAAAATCATAATCTAAGAGTGAGTGTACCAACCTTTGACCAAGTTATTCCTTACAATTGGTGAGCTTGAGTAGTTCATTAACATAGACGAAGTCTTATTTGATTCAATAGCTCACGGTTTCAAACGCAGGTATTAGGAGGTTACAAAGGAGGTATTGATCATACATATAATTGCTTTTTGTCACATGGTTGCTAAATTTATGACAATGATAGCTTGTGATAGCTTATGCTACAATTGGATATGATTATGATGTAATACATGTTAAGTGCACTCTTTGCATATTTTATAATCAATTGATTCGTATTTGCATAGATTAGATGTACCTTGATTATTGAGTGATTGTACTCATCCCCTTCCTCAACATTTTTCAAGCACTAACTCGAGGTAAGATAAAGGGAAAGTATCAGAGGCATAGGAACTTTGTTTCCTACTAAAGGCCTCTTTTATTGTGCTTTTATATATGTATAATTTTTAATGATGTTGCTCACTAAGAGTTTATTTTGATTATACTTGTATTGGCACACATTATTGGATTAGTTATATTTTGGGCCCTAAAGTCATTGTTGTGTGATTAAGTTATTTCATCAAGGCTGAAATACTAGTGCAAGTATAAATATGATTGTATTGATGCAAAGGAATTATTATTTTGATACATGCAACGCTGAGAACCTCCTCCGCTATTTTTGAGATTAAAGGGTTGCGGGTTGATTTTTAGTCACATGTGGGATATGATTACTATAATGTATTGCACAAGTTGTCTTGAGTCCATTGGATATAGTCTGGGTGTTAGATTGAACTTTTGGCACATTGGTTGAGTCTGGGACACCCTTATAATTGTTAAGTGCAAAAATGTAATTTAAATGCATTTGGGTGTTCAACTTGTTGATGTAAAATAATTTGTGGTTAAAACCTGTGCCATTAACTAGTTTGTGAGAAGAGCTTTCTATGAACATCTAGATTACCTTAATTGGATGGTAGACGAAAAATTGAGGCATGCTGAAAGTTGGCCCTCAAATCTGTCATTGGTCAGCATTATGCCATCTGATTTTAAGCAATGCACCGTGGTGCATGGCACAATGAGGAGTTCCCAGCAACAAACTGTCTTTAGGCCACAGCGGATGACTCAAACTATTGGTTTTTGATGCTTTCAACCTCTTTTTAGTTATTTAAAGTACCATATGGTATCCCATGTTTACATACATAATTATACTTTGGTTTAGATTAGTTTTAACTTTCAAAACTTGGGATCCAATCATGGTTCCTTCGATGGTCTTAAAAGATGAAATGACTTCTTGGTTTTAGTTAAGGTACCCGGTAATAAGGGTGTTATTAGAGGGAGTGCTGAAGCGAGGGTCCAGGCCCACCATAGTTGGCCTATTATGTATTCTAGCTAGTTAAACCCTAATCTCTAGGTTAGCCATTTTTCCCTAGCATTAAGGAATATTTTACAATTGTTATTATCTTTGTTATTATTCTTTTATATCTAGGATTGTAATTTGGAGGATATAGTGACTTGATTCTTGTCTACCTTCCTCTATTTATTCTTGTACACCCTCTGTTCCTTGATCAATCAATAAGAGAACTTACAATCAACAGTAAGAATAATGCAAGAGTTAAAGAGCGTCAGCTTATTTCAATCCATGTATCCACCAAATTGCTATCACAATGAATTCTCAACCAAAAAGAAAAGGGATTAGATGAACAAACAAAACGATGGGAACTTACCCATGCCCCAAGAATCAATGGCCCATGGAGGAGACTTTCTGATTGCAGCCCAGTCAGACTTTGCCAACTCCATTGGTTTGTATTGTGATCCAACAAGCCATGCATACTGCTGAGTGAAAAATATGTAAACATGAGAGGAATGTAGCACCATTCCATATCCTTTACTTGAAAACACACACACACACAAACACCTTTGGCTGCACTAAATATTGGCAATAGCACATAGTGGCAGCCTACTTTGTCATAGATGCCCAAATGACAACAAAACTAGACAATTGAAGCATCACACAGCTGAAACTTGAGTTTCTAATATTTCAAGTTAAGGAACAATAACAACGAAAAATTCCGGTACAAATTACAATGCCAAATAGAACATGGAAAAAAAAAACATTACAACCAGGCATTTGTGTTACCAGCATTTGCCCAGCAGAAGCTTCATTGCTTCCATCAAATTCTGAAAGAACATCAAAAGCATGGAGTTTCCAGTCCAAAGTTTGTGTGACCACAACACTAGCCAAGCAAACATTACCATGAACCTGCAACACCAAAGCTTGTCAAGAAAAATAAACTGATTCCCCAGAAGAGCCAAAGTCTTATTTGACCCATGAATACTCACAAGTTTGCAATCATTATTTAAGAAGCTCACAGCCTTGGCTATTTGGTGCAGCCCCCAAGCATAATATTCGTCCCTGCAACATTGATAAAAATGAAGTGAATATTAACAAATTCATAAATCAAGTTTTACTTGGTGTCAAACTCAGTGAGTGTGATCTATAATTTGCATATAATAAGTCTTACAAGGAATAAAAACATAATATACTGTAAATTACAAGAACCAAAGAAGGTTCCCACCAAAATACATCAAGTAGAAAACTCTATTCATACCTTTGTGTACCTTCTAGTCCTAACTCCTTAATCTTTTCTGAAAGTGGCATGACAGGCTCTGTAACAATATAGATTGTAACCTTGGAAGAAGCACCATCAGAAGTTTCAGTCTCAGTACTATGAAGAAATGACAAAATATTTGGATGCCTGACCTGAAAATGATAACCAGTTAAAACATCAACCAGGAAATTTGAAATTCAAACCTATATATAGTCCACAAATTAAAAGTGAATAAAGCACAAAATATCAGATGTTGTATTCTTCATGAATAATAAGAATGTCTATCATCAATGAAACATGCCGACAGGGATTGTATTTTTGACAGATGAAGGTCAATTCCTACCACGCAACTGGCATCCAGCTACAATTTGACTCACGCCAAAATGATAGAAGATGCTCACTATCAGAAGGATTTCAAACGCATTTTTTAACCTTGGGCATAATGTTTAGGGCTCATGTTATACACTAATGAAATGAGAAAATATTTCATGTCCCTACTTTAAAAAAGATAATAAAAAGGAACAGATACTTTTGAAAACAGATTCAATAAAAAAAAAAAAGGAAAAGGAATCCATTTCCTTCCTGATACCAAACAACTCTCTCAAGGACATCCAAACAACAAGGAAAGAGAAATTGAGAGAAAACGATAAAAGAAAAAATTTACAAATTTATCAACCACGAAGCAGGAAAACAGTTGCTGCATAAACAGCAAGCACTGAGAAGAACAAATCGTAAATTTTTACAACATTTAAGCATGAATAGCAACAGGAAATTTAGTTGGATTTATTTTATGCTGTTAGTAATTCTTTTGCTTGAGTTCATGTTTTCTTTTGCTTTATATTTAAGTCATTGTGACTGGGGCTCTCTATAAATAGCCCTAGATTATTTTCATTGTAAGACATTGGGTGAATTTCTACTCAGACTTGATATTTGCCTTCAACTCCCCCCCTTCTCTTCTCCCTTTACCTATCTCTTTCCCCATCCTCCTTCAAACCCCCCCTTTTCATGTTCTACATCATTAGTCTGTAGCGACAACAACCAAACAGGTCCAAACATAGGAGTTATGTCAGCAAAATCACATGTAATTAAGAGAAGTGTTCCCATATGATATACAATATTGAAAAGGAAATAAAACTCTCCAAAGGAGAAACAGTTATTTAAACCATGAATTTCTATATTATCATCAATGTAATAAAAGCAGTATACAACATTAGATTTCAGAAAGGAAGTATTCCTCAATATTTAAACCTATTAGTTAAAATTCAGACACAAACATCATGATTTAATACTTACTGTCCGGAGACGCTTAACACCATTTCGACCAGCTGCTAGATATCCATCTTGAGCATTAACCCCAGATAGAGAAAAGATTGAAACTGGAGATCCATCGTCCTGAAAATTGCATCAACATGCAGACTTATATCAAATCAACTGCGCTAGAAGGAAAATGATGGAAGAAAAACTAAGACCACTCAACACTCCAAAATCCAAGCCGGCAGCTGTTGGTAGTGTAAGTTCACTAATAGAAGTCTCCAGCTAAAGGATAGGGCCAGCTTCACTAGGTGGAACTAGCATCCAGGGGACTACCAAATTATGGCGTACCAGATATATGCATCTTAAAGCAAGCCCCACAAAGTATCTAAACTAGAATATAAATTTGTCCATTCCTCAGCGTTTCAGTATAATAACCTCCTTAATTGTCTTCTTTCTATTAACTTTTCGAAATCAGATAATAAAGACAGGATGAGAAGCAAAGAAATGCCATGTTCCGTTCTTCCAGCAACACTCGTCAGTTGCCACCAAGGCAACGACTCAATTTTCATCAGATCAATGCAAAACCAGCTGCCCATAGCGAGGTATTCCGAAAGAAACTGATACTGAATCCAGTACCATAAAAAAAATGTAGGCCCCTACCAAGCCAAACCGTCAAAATTCCTGCTAGTTGAGTATATTATCATATATACCGTGTTCAAAGACAAGCAACTGGATAAGCCTATAAGCACTACCAACACAAAAATGAAGTAAACAAACAACGTCATCAATTGGGTAGAGAAGTCATGTTGGAGGCACAATATAGGTGAACGATAACAAGCAGATCCATCGTAAGTGTAATCTAACAGTTCGATCAAATTAGAATTCTGGGACATAAAAAGAAGAAAAGGTACCAAATTATATAAATGAGTGGGAGGGGAAGAAGAATATGTGTAAAGTACCTTGGAGGTGCCGCGATAGTGAGTCCAAGATCCCCAAGAAGAAGGGTAAGGTTGGCCGATATTATAAGGGAGATCTTTGAGTCCGCTGCCAGATCCACCCACCACCTCCTTCAAGAATTTAAACATTTTTCTTCCGTGGTTACGCAGAAATCACTGATCGGCAACAAGGATACGGAGAAGATTAAGATAAAATCAACAGTCTGATTGTATATTTCGCGGTCGTGTGGCTTTTCCCACTCTGCATGAGGGCGATGTGTTCATCTGGGCGAAGCAGCCGTTCAGGCTTTTTAATAACCATGAGGCATCAACATATGAGGCAAGGCCAGTAGCCGCAGCGAACAGCGAAGCTTCTCAAAAATTTGCCAACCAAATTGTAAACTAAAATTCCACGGGAAATTATTAATAAATTAATGATGGTCCTTATTTTTATCAGTTTTGAGTTTGGTATTTTTTTCTGGCCCAAAAAATTGGTACAACTTATTTATTTTAATTGAATCCCATGGTTGTCTCACTCTCTTAGTAAGGCTAGTTCTCACTTGATTGCTATAAAATATTAAAATATGAGAATAAAATATATTAAAAAATTAAAATAAAATAAATTATTTCAATTATTTTTTATAATAAATATGACAAAACTCAATATTATATATTATAAATATAATAATTATCATACCTTCTAAAATTATTATTATAAATTATGACTTTCAATCATATAAATTAAATTATCATTTTTTTATAAATACAATTCAATTGTTTCCCTTCACATTTTGATCGTCTTATTTTTATTTTTATATTTTTATTTAATTTTATTATCTTCTTTTTTAAGAATCAAATGAGATGTTAGTTTTATAAAGTTTCAACTGAATCTCTGTCAAGCACCACACTAAAAAAAAAAAAACTTGGCTAGTGTATTAATAACATGGCAAACTTAAATAAGGGGTGGCATCATGAAAGATGAAATGATATGGCTAGATCATCGAGGTAAAATATACCGTGTTATCTACTAATGAATAAAAATATGACATGTTACACTAATTTAATCAAATAAATTTTTCTGCATTATTACTTTTAATAACATCGTTTTTAGAATAAAGTGTATCTTTTAATTTTTTGTATTTTCTCTTTTTATTATATAGAGCAAAATCAATTTATTATACAGATTATAGCATGCTTTTATTTTTAAAAAAATTATAGATGACATGATTTACGGAATTCATGCAATAATTTTTTCATAACGCTGGATACAATCAACGCAAACATGTGGACGCTTAGTCTCCAACCTGTCAAAATTAATGGTGTTGTAAAGGTCTGTAGCTTCAAGATGAATGTATATAATAAATCAAATTATAATTGCCCAATCTAATCAAAAAAAGGGAAAATTGTAAACAGGACCCATACAAGAAGCTCGTGACAACTAAATTCCATGATTTGGTTGTTTTTATCATATAAAACTTCACAAATATCCTTGAATTATCCCTTTAAATGGCATTGGCTGAACATCGACGACAACGTTGACCAATCAACAAATAATTTTTTTAAAAAATATTTTATTGAATTATTTATTTTAATATTTACAGATCAAACACTACACAAAGTCTTCAAGTTGATGGCTATTCCCTCCAAATATTTTTTAATGAGTTGAATATTTAAAAATATAAAGTATTTTTAGTTTTTTAAAGTATAATAATTGTCTTTTTTTAACAGCACCCTTATTGATAATAACTTTATATTTATTATAGAATATTTAATAGGGATTAAATATAAAAAAATAGAGTTAGTTTGAATGTAGGTAACTACTTTATTAAGAGTAAAATTCAATATATTTTTAAGCAGAGGGAGTATATTTTTATACAAACACCTGCTATATAATGTCTTTCCCTACATCAGAGCTTGAGGGATAGGGGCGAAACCAACCTTTAATTTTAAGGGGGGCCAAGTTTTTGAGATTAATAAATAGTATTGATTTAAGTAATTTAAAGTTAACTAAATAATAATACAGTAAATTTTTTTAATATTTGAACCCATATACGCTATGTTTTTCTCTATCAAAATCAAGTGGTTTTTAAGCGGCCATTTTTAATTTACCTTATAACCATCTCATGTTATTGATATTTTTTACTTGTTTTTAAATTTAAAATTCAATGATTATGATTTGATTGAAAAAAATACATTAAGTGTATTAATTCAAGTATCTAATTTTTTATTACAAATATCTAAGTATTTTATAGTAAATTACATAGAATTATATGCCATTGAATATTAAAATCTGACGATGGGATAAAATAAATATTCAAATTTTTATAAAACTTATATATATATATAAGTTCTATATTTTAAAGAAGTACGTTATACGTTACATATATATATATATATATATAGAGAGAGAGAGAGAGAGAGAGAGAGAGAGACGTGGATTAAGAAAGAAAAGGTGTTGGTGTTTTAATTACTTTACGTAATTGGAGCGGGTTTGCACCCCCCTCCAACACTAATGTGGTTCCGGCCTCTGTTGAGGGGTTCAAGAACATCCGGTCTTGTTTCCCTTTTTCGCACCATTACAACTACAAGTGAACCATGCATGGCTTTTTGCTGAATACATATTAAAGTCATACACAACCCTTGCTTCATCATGTCCAACGTATGCATCTATGATATATAGAGAGATATAGACACAATATGTGTTTGATTTTTTTTTTTTTTTTTAAGCAGAGGAGCCTTAAAATGGTTTAGCCTGTAAAGTATATTTTTGTCGCAAATGGGTTCAGTTAAAAAAAAATCTAATTTAAATAATAATTAACTTTTTGAATCTTATATAAAAGAAGTGCTTATATTTAGTATTTGATTGTACTTTAAAAATAATTATCTTTAATAAGAAGATATTTGTAAGAATTCTTTGCTCAAATGATTTAGCTGATTTAATTCACAAGTTTGCCTCTATAACTATAACCATATGTGCGCTTTAAACGTATTACGGGGATGAAATGCAAATAAAATTTACTTTTAAATCCCTTCCTATGCTATCTTCTCCATCATCACCCCGCGCACAACAGTTAACAATGAACAAGTTCCTTCTTCCTCGTGTATAAATCATGTACAGAAATCAACAATGAACAATAATAATCATATTAGTATGGACATCAATTAGCAGGATTTCATCGATCGATTTGCAAGTCCGATCGGACTTGATGAGGTTCTAGTTCATACAGGATGGAAACGGTTTGCGAGTCCAACCGGAATGAAGTTTTGGTTCTGATGTGAACAGATACCATGATTGATATTATTGAGTATTTGTCCTTCTTGCATGAAGCTGAATAGGCGTGGCGTGAGAAAAGACAAGCAAATTACATGTACAGTGGCGAGGTGCACATCAAGATGGGCGATTTTATGCCAATTACGTACAGTGGTATTGATTAATCGAGTACGTACAATGGGCTGTAAGTGTAGCTTTAAGATAGCTACGATGAAATCATCCGAGACGAGCTATATCACAAGAACAAGAGAATTCAAAAAAGCAGCTGGCTTGTCTCTGCCGAAGATTGTCCGCAAGAACTGTACACAACTTGTTTAATTCTAATTTATCTTCCTCCAAAGTCCAAACACATGGAATTCAAAATATAATAAGAAGATACATGACATCATCTTGCGGGTTGTCTCAAGTGCTTAATATGATCTTTCCATGTTCCTTTTTGGAACGCTAGTTAATTTAGTCTCTTAAAGTTTATAATTCGTTGGGTTCACAATTCAGATTATATGTCGGTCCATATAAGGTCCAAGAAACACTAGAGAATGGATTGTATTGGAGATCAAATTTAGTTCGCTGGATTTTAGGAGAGAAAATGAAATTCCAATTCCAATTTGGATATTGTACAGTGGTAGGTCCGCCTGCGTCAAACTCGCACCACTCATTTGAAGAGATTTTCATGTCCAAATGCGTTTAATTAGCTAGATTCAAGAAGTAGACGAAATTATTGGTAGTTTTTTGCATGCATATAATTAAAGGAGCAATTATCACAACTCCAAAAATGAGATTTGGTGGTGTTTAAAATTTCAATTTTACATTTATAAAACACTATAAAATTTAATACTATTTTAAATTTAAAGTGGTGTTTCATTAATTAATAAAATATCATAAGGAACTAACAATAGTAGTGGCATTTCCTTCTCTTTACTTACTTAAAAAAAAAAATGTGATGTTTATTATAGGAAATGTTATCTCTCTATTTGCTTTTTTAAAAATAAAGGGTTATAGGAAGCGTTTCTTGCAAGAATAGCCACTTATCTCATTTTATTTGTTTTAAATTATAAAGAATCACTTTTAAATATATATGTATATAATATATCCTATATATCCATCAATTATATATATATATATATATATTTTATTAAATATACAATTAACTTATACAATAAATTTTGTTCATACATTTAACAAAAATAAATAATCAATTTTATACTATACAAAACTACGATAAATTTAGTAGGGTCATAAAAAATTAAGGATCAAGAAAAAATTAAATTAAATATTAGTTAAGAGATGTAATTAGGTTTATCAGTAATTTTCATAATATAGTTATAAAAAATAATACCTGCAACAAAAATGAATAAACAATAAATTTGAAAAAAAAATATGACTAATGTTTGACAAAGATTAAATATAAAATAAATAAAGCAATTTATACAAATTATAAAGAAAAGATAAGCTATCATCTGGCTATATAAGTTTTGGCTATATTTTAACATTGAACAAATACATATCACAAAAAGTGGACAAATTCTAAATTAAAAACAAGATTCTTTTTCAATGATTAATAGAGATTATCATCATTACCTTCTTAAAAGTCTAACAATGACAAAACCAAGCCATTTATTACTAAAAGCATGAAGATTAAAGACCCTACTATCTATTCACTAGATCTTAATAAAGTTTTATACCCAGAGAATTGTTTCATCAATAGATATATTTATTAGCAAATTAAAAGAACAAACTGTTCAAGATGATCGAAAGAAAAATTATCAACTGAAGAGAAAGAAAAGTAAAATCGTGAAGATCCATATAAATATAATATATATATATATATGTATATGTATATGTATATGTATATGTATATATGGATAGGTAGATAAGAGGCACAACAAATTAAAAAAGGAACCTATTATAGTGTACTTATACAAGCTATTTTAACTAGAGAAGATGATGAGAACAACTTTAAAAATTAGAGAATAGATAACTTGTGAGTTACAAGAGAGAAGAGCAAGCGATTGGATAGAGAAAACGACCAAGATAAGGAGATCAGGGTTTGAAAATTTTAAAAAGAGTTAAAAACTATCTTAGATTTTTAAAAATAATTAAAAAAATCACAACAATGGCATTTCTTCATGGAAGAAACGCCACTTCTATAATTTTTAACAATTATATAAGATAAAAAATATTGAATCAATAACAGGACAGATAGGTGGCGTTTTTTGTCCAAGTCCAAGAAATACCACATCTCTACTTTTTAATTACCAAGTAATAATATATATTAATAATTTATAATAACTAAATAAATTATAATAAAATAAATTTTATCTTATAAAAAATACTTGAATAATCAAAAAAGAAGAGACGTCGTGTTTTCAAGTTTGAAAATGCCACCTCTTTTTATTTATTTATTAAATATTATTATATATATTAATTATAAATATTAAATAACTAAATTATAATAAAATAATTACGCAATATGATAAAATAACATTTTAAATTAATAAGAGCGTATAAAGGTGAAATTTTCAAGCTCAACAAATGTTACTTCTCTTATTTTATTTATTAAATAATATGATGTACCAATTAAAGTTATCAATTAAATAAATTATGATAAAATAATTATTAATATAATAAAGAATATTAAATTAATAACAGGACAGAGAAGTGGCATTTCCAAACCCAAAAAATGCCACCTCTCTACTTTTTAATTATTAAATAATAATATATATTAATAATTAATATTAACTAAATAAATTACAATAAAATAATATTTTATTTTATAAAAAATAATAAATATTGAAAAAAGAATAGAGGTATCATTTTCAAGTTTGGAGATGCCACCTCTCTTCATTTTTTATTAAATATTATTATATATTAATTATAAATACTAAATAACTAAATTATAATAAAATAATTATTTAATATGATAAAATAAAATTTTAAATCAATACAAGAGTATAGAGGTGGCATTTTCAAGCTCAACAAATGCCACCTCTTTAATTTTATTTATTAAATAATATTATGTATTAATTAAATTTATCAATTAAATAGATTATGATAAAATAATTATTTAATATGATAAAAAATATTAAATTAATAATAGGGCAAAGGGGTAGTGTTTTCAAACCCAAAAAATGTTATATCTATGCTTTTTAATTATTAAATAATAATATATATTAATAATTAATATTAACTAAATAAATTATAATAAAATAATATTTTATCTTTAAAAAATTGAATAATAAAAAAAAAAAAAAGGTGACATTTTTAAGTTTGGAAATGCCACCTCTCTTCATTTATTTATTAAACAATTGCTATACTAATTAAAATTATTAATTACATAAATTATAATAAAATAACTATTTAATCTAATAAAATAAAATGTTAAATTATTGACATAATAGAGAGGTAGCACTTTCAATTGAAAACGCCACCTCTCTGCTTTTGATATGAACAAAATATTAATTTAGTAAAAATGAAGAGAAGTGACGTTTTACTACTCTTGAAACGCTATTTCTTATTATTTATTAAAATTGCAAGTAACAAATAAATTAAAAGCGGTTGCATTTGAAATGAGAAACATCACCTTTCTATTTGACTTTAATATTAGTAATATTTTATTTTTTATTGCTATAAAATGTATGCTACTAAATCTCATTTCATAGTAATGTATGCATCTATCTACATCACTATAAAAAAAATGACTTTCAACGGCAATAAAAATAAATAATCTGTAGTAACAATAAAAGTCACCATTGAAAGAGTGACTTTCTGCAATGACAATATATAATCACCGCTGATTGTTAGATTTTCAATGATGACAAGTGTATATCGCTGTTGAAAGTTGACAATTAGCGGTGACATTTTAAAATTGCCGTTGATTGTTAACATATTTTCAAATATGTTATAATTTCTAAAAATCTTATGTTATAATAAATATATTATAAGTTTTAGTGGCAACATATAAGTCATCGTTGAAAGTTAAAAATGAGACTTTCAACAATGACTTTGAATGTCACCGTTGAAAGTTTGATTTTGTGTTATCATCATAATTTTTTATTTATCTAATATTTAATATTTTAAGACATTAATTTTATTGTATTATTGTAATTTTATAATGAATACATAAAATAATATAATGAGTTTTCATTTAATTTATTTTATGGTTCAATTATAACTTTAAAATGATAAAATTATTTTAAGATAAGGTTAAAGTATTATTTAATGCCAATGAGCCAGAGTAAAGAATTAAGCTAAACCATATTATTTTACGTGTATGTTTGAATTAAAAAATTTACAACTCAATTTAAGATTCAATTGAGGTTAACAAATTGAAGTTAGAAGAAAAGTCAACAAATGTAATATGATTTATGTTTGGATATCTTTTTTTTTAAAAGTCAGTTAAATAAATTAAAATTTATTTACTAATATGATGACACGTGGCATGAGATGAGGGCAATACGTGGAGGGTGGCGTGGGGTGCCACGTGGAGGATGACATAATGTCACATGGTGTGAGGTGGGGTGCCACGTGGAGGGTGACATGGTGCCACGTGCATAGGTAACCCAGCATTTCTTTTGTTGCCGTTGATGTGTGGTTTCTACAGCGACAAAATGTTGTCGTCGATTCTAAACTTCTAGCGGCAACTATCTTTTTGTGGTGACAAATTTTTTTTACAAAAACATTTGTTACAGTCAATTTTAAATTTTCAACAACGATCTTTATTGTCACCACAGATAAAATTAACGATAAAAGCTCTTGAGATGATATCGTGGTGATTTTTTATCACTGTTAAAAACTTTCAGCAACTACTTTTCAGCTTTTAGCAAAAGTTACTTTCTTTTTTTTGGTAGTGCATGCACTGTGCACGCGTGATTCTTAGCTATCTACTGAACATAGAATATAATTTCCAATGCAATAATTTAATTTATTCTCCCACATGGTTTAGATCATTTATAAGCCATGCCATTTGTTCCATCCATCTTCATAAAACAGAAGTGATGAAGACTAAAATCACCTAGAACCTACGTTACGCATTAGATATTTCTCTGATTTTTCCCATGACTTCAGGAACTTTAACGTCTCATCAAGAAGACAAACCATCCAGAGCAAGAAAACCATCCAATAACATGAGAATATTTAACGACAGCAAGAATTGAATGGTGCCTGCTGGCTGAAATGTTAATGGCATAACGAGGAGTGCTTCATCTTGACCTCGGGCACGGTAACGCATAAATTAAGTGTAATTAACTTAGCTAGCTGCTTAAGCCTTAAGGCACATATGATAACTAATTACCCTCCAGTCTACGCATTTAGGCTGGTGTGTTATGTCCCCTTTTTTGAATGTCTCGTTGATTCATGATGCCCGAGAAGGCGAGAAGCACAACATGCACCTATAGACACATGCAACTTCAGAAAATAACTTGATTAAATCTGACGGATTACACTTCAGGAGGTGCTTGATCGTGGTGGTGAGACCCAGAGACTTGTACGTCACTGTCAAGCAGAAAAAGGACAATTAGGAAAAAGAAATTTCAGAGCAGGAATTTGTGATGCTTCCATTATTGCTAGCTGGTGATCAAATATCCACTTCGTGTTATGCTTGGAATAATAATAAGCAATGGTTAATGAAACACAAAATCCTATTTGCAAAGATAGTGGGAGTAGAATAATCGCTGCACCTCATTCCTTATTCTGATAAATTTTATGACCGTGAGCAAATCCCAGCGGCCAAAGCAACCACACACTTCATATGCACTGCCTTCAGAAGAATCCAATTCGGTAAGCACGTCCATGTAAACCTCATACACAATCTAAAAATAAAAATAACAGGAGCTCGCGTGTCCATAGAAATTAAATGAATAGACCTTCCTGACATGCATTTGGCTTTAATTTTGTCGTTTTGTACATGCGAGGGCGTGAATATATGTATATATAGATAGGCAAATCACTGTAGGGTTTAACATGTAGAGGTTGATGAAAGCGAAGCGCTAATATATAGTCTTGGGACGTTGAAGGTAAAGAAAGTAAATAAAAAAGAAAATGATAGGATGGCAAGACGTGTATAAGGTGGTGGTGGCAATGGTGCCATTGTACGTGGCTCTGATGTTAGGGTACGGGTCAGTGAGGTGGTGGGGGATCTTCACGAGGGAGCAGTGCGACGCCATAAACCGACTGGTGTGCTACTTCACGCTGCCTCTCTTCACCTTCGAGTTCACGGCTCACATTGATCCCTTCCGCATGAATTTCCCCTTCATCGCAGCCGACACCATCTCCAAGTTCATCATCGTCTCGGTGCTCGCCTTCTGGGCCAAGTGCTCTTCCAAAGGAAGTTACTGCTGGTCCATCACCAGCTTCTCCCTGTGCACTTTAACCAGCGCTCTTGTTGTGGGGGTCCCTCTCACGAAGGCCATGTACGGCCCGTTGGGGGTCGACCTCGTCGTCCAATCTTCGGTTGTCCAGGCCATCGTATGGCTCACTCTTCTCCTCTTCGTCTTGGAATTTCGAAGAGCGGGAACAATCCAAGGCACTGATTCTACTTCTCACTCAAACCCTTCTGTAAAGGCGCCAAAAGATGTTGCTACTGTTGCAGTAGTAGTGGACGAGGGATTAGTCATAAGCAGCGGCACCGCCACCAGGCCTCCCTTCTGGAAGTCGATGAAGCTTGTGGGGCTGAAGCTCGCAGTCAACCCTAACACGTACGGTTGTATCGTTGGCATTTCCTGGGCTTTCATCGCTAACAGGTTCTTGCTATATATATTACATGTGTTTGATCAGTGTGTGTGAAACCGAACGATTGGTTATTAATTGTCGTTTCATGACATGCATATCGATCTATAATTAATTAGTCAGTGAACAGGTGGAAGTTGGAAATGCCAAGCATCATAGAAGAGTCAATATTAATCATGTCAAGGGCAGGGACGGGCACTGCCATGTTTAGCATGGGTGAGTGTTCGCCATGTCTGTTACTACGGTACCTATAGAGCAGTATATATTAGTCAGTTGCTTCGCATGGGAACAAGGAAATGTATTTTATATATATGTATGTATATATTGTAGGTGTTTTCATGGCGCTTCAGGAGAAGTTGATAGCTTGCGGATCCAGTCTGACGGTATTCAGCATGGTTTTAAAGTTCGTAGCCGGACCTGCGGCCATGGCTATTGCTTCCATCGCTGTGGGATTGCATGATGACGTTCTCCGAGTCGCTATCATTCAGGTTTTCCTTCTACTCTTTTGTTTTTCGGTCTGAGGGTAACGTGCGTGAAGCTTTGTTTAATTTTAAGTTTATATATTACTCAAATGAAATTAATTAGCTCGCTCGACAGACAAAAGAAAGATAACAAACTGATTGTTCTGCCTTCTGAGACGTGGTAAATCATCAATATTAAAAGAAGAGTAACTCAGTTAATTCCCTGAACAAAATCCGTCCTCTGTTAATACATAAGATCCAATTATTTATACTAAGGGTGTACTGCTTATGCATTAACTGTGCTTACTACGTAGTTTCTGTTCATTCTATGAATAATCTTAATCTAATACTTCTAATTCCAGTAATTGAAATGTAATAGTAGGAACTAGGAAGAGACAGCTAGCTGGAAGAGCGAAGTTAGTTTTTAATATAAACTGTAAGTCCTTTATTTCTCGACTACAAGACCGTAGAGAAAGTATATCTTCAATTAGTGTTGGCTCCAGTTCCTTCACCCTTTTAATTTATAAAAATTTTTATGCCCACGCTTTTAAATTTATTACATATCGTCATGTAATGGATTAATTTATTTAAATTGACAAAAAAGATTGCCAGGGCCAAGTTTAAGGGATAAAAATGTTCACCAAAAAGCGGAGTCTCCTTTGTCCCCTACAGCTTAAAAAATAAAAAAGAGGAAAAAAATCCGGATATGTGGTTCACAAACTCGCAAGTATAAATTAGTGGCTGGAGTTAGTTTGATTTGGAATAAGTGTAGAAAGCAAGTAAAGCTTTAGGCTTGAAGCGTGACCGAAATCAAAGGAACGATGTGAAGATACAGTGGGAAGAAAAGAAAGGGGAAGCTAGTGGCGGGCGAATTTTGTGGGTGATGTTTGAATTATAGCGGTGTTGCTAGATTGATTTGTTAATTGGCACAAGATTCTCAGTTGTGAGAGAATAATATAATAGGGAAGATGCTCAGTGAAGTTGGATATTCTCTTGCAGGCAGCGTTGCCACAATCCATAACGTCCTTCATTTTTGCTAAAGAATATGGATTGCATCCAGAGGTTCTTAGCACAGCGTGAGTTTCCATTTCAATATTAACAAAAACATTTATTTAATTATATATATATATATATATATATATTTGCATTGCTGCTCACTAAGATTTAGGCTGCGCAGGGTGATTTTTGGTATGATTATCTCGCTTCCCGTGTTGATTGCCTACTACGCTATGTTGGAGTTTGTACGTTAACCGTATCAGATTTTTTCCTCTCGCAGGGGGGTGCGGGGTTGGACTTGGACCCCATTGTTAGATCTTAATGGCTTGCTCCTGTTGTAATTTTTTTTTATTACTATACAATATTTTTATATTGATCAAAACAAAATGCAACACGAGTCTTAAACAGTTGGTGGCCCCCAAAAAGAAAAAAACCCAAAGGCCTTAAACGGTTAAACCCATTGATGTTTAATATCTATTTCTTTGAGAGGCAAGTCCCCCAATAAACAAATTAATAAACAAGTCTCTTGAATTTAGTTTATAACGCAGAGACCTCAATAAATTTGATTGACATATGGAAATTGTGGCAAAATGCATCATTGCTCTTTGACCGACTTTGATCACCCCCCTATTGACTAAAGTTGACCATGTGTAATCGTGGCCTCCTGGCAAGTTATTAAATATTATAAACACTGCTGCTTACATTCGTTGCCATATTTTTTTTTTATATAATTCCTTGTATTTTTTAAATTTTTTATAATGACATTTTAAAAAAATAATTACTTTTATTGTTTTTTATAATGTAAATTCTATTTATCAAGAACAAAATATATACATTTGGTACATGAAGAGACATTAATAATTATCTTACAGTTGTTTTAAAAACGGAGTCCCTCCCCCCCCCCCCCCAATTTACAACACGTCTCCCCCTTCTGTGCCTCAGCACGAGTCCTTTGATTTGCTACCACTGAACCCACATTACCCAACCGGATTTGGGGTGTAAGTCCCACTCTTACCCCCTCCCTCTCTTTTTCTTTCCAATTTTTTTTTTTTTTGGTGTCGAGCTCGGACCTCTAAATTAAATCATCAAAGAGTCACCATTAAATTTGTTGGTTACCCCCTCCCTCTCTATTGCTTCCTTTAATACCTCAAATTTCAGCACTTCAGGCCATTAGTGAAAATGAAGGGCTGAAATTTAGACCATTAAAGAACGCAGCAGACACCCAAAATTCCAACCAGATCCCGTTTCGCTACTTCGTGTCAGGAACTCATTCACTGGAACTTCATTGCAACACTGATGAAAGACGGGCGTCAGTTAATTTGCATACTCAATGCACTACTTGAACCGTGAAAAACCAAGGCCAAGGGCAACATAATAATACAACAGGTACAATCTTAAATAAATTCAAACAAGAAAACCAACAGAAAATGTAAGCACAAAACGTTCTATCAACATTAGATAAGATTCTTCACCGAGAGCTGCTTGTTTTTTGCTTGGCCTTCTCAATGAGTGGCTTCAACTGCTTCTTCTCGGCAAGGATCTTCAGAAAGTTAAACAGAAAGGGTATATAATTGTGCTTCCTACGGATATTCTCAGTTCTCCATTTTTTGAATTTTTCTTCCTCCATCAATATCTTCTCAGTAGCAGCTTCGATCCCAGCATTTACTTCAGAGAGAGAATTGTTCAGTGTCTCGTAATTGCTATTTTCCATCAGTCTCTCTGATTTTGATGCAGCCAGCTGCTGCAAGATGCGCTCCCTCCTCTTCTGAAGTTCCTTGAGTTCAGCCGTATACATCTCCTTCCTGTTCTTGATAATTGCCATGAGATTAAATCTTATCTCACTTTGGGAATACCTATCAATACGTTCCTGGATCACCGGTTGCACCATCTTTAGCCATTCCATATCACCTTGACTGCCAGAGCACTGACCCAGGCTAATGGGACCCTCCTTTAATCCATCAAGCTCATACAGGACCCCATCCACCGGTAGGTAGCTTATAAAATGGTAAACATCATCATCTTTCCCAGCAACCTTCTGCTCGTCAGGGACAAAAGGTTCAGGCCTTGCAAAACTATTATGGGCTGTACGAATAGCTTCACTATTATTGATAGCCAATCCTTTTAGCTCAGCCGGGAAGTTCTTGGTAAATTCTTTCAATTTGACAGCTCTGGTCCAATCTCAATATCTGGTGAATTCAAAAGGATAGACAAGATCGCTTGTGTTGCACATGCATTATTAATTACCTGCAAATTTAACACTCAGGAATCAGAATCAATAAACTTTTCAAAATAATAATATATTGTAAACAAAGAAAACTAACCTGGCTAGCAAAAAACAAGTTAGGATTGGGATCTTTGATAACAATACGGTCATCCTTTTCACCGGGACGCCATTTGAAAAGAAAAATCAAGCCATAAACAGGCCTGAATTTGAGGATGGGAACCGCCAAAGAGGGAAAAAACAAAGGCAAATGTTCACAAATAGATCCTAACTTGAGAGCATAAACTTAGCTTGGTGAGACAGTACACCAACCTAAGGCAGCTGAGGGAGTCAAGGTCCAATGAATACAGCTCCTCAACCTGCCAACACCTTAGGCATCATGACAATATTCATGCAGAACATAAAGAAAAAAATAACAACTAGGAAATCGAAAGTAAATAGACTAGGGGCATATATAAAAAATTCAAACTAACTGGAATCAGATAGAGTAACATGATTGTGCCTGGCACTGAACTTCTCCTTACAAAAAAATTGGGAAAATTATGTAGTCAGTTATGGGTATTTATTGCTATTTAATTTCTTTTGGATTCTTCTACTTAAATGCATATACTGTCAGCCTAGCTATCTCTCATTGAATGCAGAATAGTATAATATGCTTTAGATAGTAAATATGCGGTGCAATAACATTACCATCAACTCTAAATGCAGACAAAGCTGTGTTAGTGTATGACATCTCCAAAACATTCATGCTAAAGCAATTCAAGGAGATTAAAGTAGATGGAGTAAATTTTTAAGGAGGCTACAAGTCATCACCCAAAAAAAAGTTAATAAAATGAACAACATCCCGCAACAAGTGAAGGCTAACAATATAACACCAGAACAAAACCAAAAACACATATATAGGACAAAACAACCTGTACTCCTTTCACTTGCATTTGTTGTATAAGTTCTGTGAATACACCTGAAAAGTTAAAAAGATGAGAAGGCAGGAGGATTTAAGCAATGTCTTAACAAAAATTATATAACTACTACAGAATTAAAATAAGCGTGACAACCATTAAACCACAGTATGATATGGACAAAAACAGTATGTCAATATATCATTTCATTCACATAGAAAGTTTGTTAGTTGTAAGGCAAATTCCAGCCTTGGATTCAAATTTAGGAAGTTTGGGATCGATTATTGGAGACATAAGGCACTATGGACAGCCATATAAAGGCTTAGTTTTTTAGGCAGAATGGCTATTGAAATGATATGCTATAGAAGCATACCTGGATCTGACTCAATTGTACACCAAGACATGATTGAAAATCCTAAAAGCTGCAAGAAGAGGAATACAATTAGAAAAAGACATTCAAAAACATGAAATATGAAAGATTAAGCCTAAAAAACAAACATGTTTAGAAGGTGAAGGACATCACGGATAAGAATATTCTCATCGTCAATGTACCAAGTATTATTAACCGAATCACATGGGTTAAGGCGTATAATTTATTCTACCCTTTAATAAAAGGCAGTCGGCAATACCTATAGATATCCAGATGCACATCGAGGATTTGAATATATGGGATGAAGAGCAATACCCAGAACTTACCTCGGACTCGGAGAGCGAGAGACAGAGCGATGGAATCCCGGGCTGAAGAGACAGAGCGCCTTGACTGAAGAAGCACCGTGACTGAAGCGACAGAGCTCGGAGTGACTGAAGAGACAGAGCGGCCGTGACTGAAGATGGACGATGCTCGGAGAGACAGAGCGAAGCTCACGCGAGACGCGACAGATCTTGGGGGTGAAAGGAGAAAGATCGACTGGACGAAGCTTAGGGCATCTGAATTTTGGAAAAGAAAGGGGGTTAAAAAAAGCCAAAGAAGAGGCCAAAACGTTGAGTTTTGGACACAACCTATGTGGGCCCATCTTCACCCGTGTCCGAACCTGTCAGCTTGAAAATGAGAAAGCAGGCACAGTGCTTCCGCATCCTGAACGTGTGTCCGTGTCAGATATGTATCCAACATTGACACAGTGACATTTTGCATTTATCCATGCTTTCTAGATAAAAGCTAACATTTATCTCCAATTTTCTCTTCCCAATACAATTTATGAGAGAGATAGTTAAAATTATCTAAAGTACTCGTAAAAATTTACTAAATTTTATTAAGATTCTTATATTAAGATAAGAAGCACTTTCGTAAAGAAGATTAAAAAAATTATAACGTGAAAATAAATTGAATTTAAATCACATTTGCTTAAATTATGTTAAGAGTGATTTTTCAATGACAAGTTAAATTATATTCTTTCGGAACACTTTAAACACCCTCGCATAGGCGAGCCTATAAGTGTAAGTGAGGCATTTGGAAATATCAAATATGAATAGTTAATATAATATCCTTTTAATTTTTGTTCTATATACTTTGATGAAGACACTTTAATCAGCCAATTGATTTAGGCAACCACTCCAAGCCACTGAAGAATGACAATAATTTAAACTCAAGCTTCTAAATTGTTAACATAGCTTGAGCTAACTTATTTAGTGATCACGCATCATAAATACCTTGAGAATTTTCTAAATAGATGATAATATAAAGGGATTAATAAACAAAATGCCAAACAAGCCCATCATTACACAACAAAATAATCCAAATCATATAAGACGCTAGTAATTAAAATAAGGAGGGCAAAAGTAAAACAACTCATTACACATCATTGAAGCAAAAACTAGAAACAAAGCTTTTTTTTTTAAAAAAAAAAGGAGTGAACTCAATCTTCATTCAAAAGTATCAATAATCAAACAATTACACGACAAGATTCAAAGCCAGATTAAAATGAAAATTTAAACAAAGTAAGAAACAGTGTGACAGTATCTGACAAAGGGTCGACAACAACACAAGAACAAAAGCGGAGATTAAATACAAATATAGGTTTAAAGCTGGATTGAACAAATAAATTCAAAAGAAAAGCCCTAAGGGTTCAAACCTTTTTCAATACTTACCTGACAACAACCATGCAAGGCTGACATGGCACCCAACTGCAAGCTCAACAAAGTATGGAATGCTTGTTTTGTCGATGAAGAAAAATGGATCCCTACTTCTTTATAAACAAGGGTTTTTTTTTTAAATACAAGTAGGGGGTTTTAATTAGATTCAAACACTATTAGTCTAAGCCTCTAAGGATGCGTTTTTTCCAATGAGCCATTTTGGATTGGGTCAAGGGTAAAAAATGTTCTAGAATTTTTTTAAAAAAACAACGCTGAATATTTTTATGTTTTAGTTAAAAAAATATCACCCGAAACTTTAAAAAATAACATCATTCTACTAGCCACTGTGCTTGACTGTTTGTTGACCATTTATTCAATTTTATTTGCTATGTGATAAACAACTGGCATTTAAAGAGGAAAAAGAAAAGGAAAAAAGAAACATTTGGCCCTCTGTCTCTTTGACTGCTTTTCTCTCCCTTCTCCTCCTCTCTCTCTCTATCTCTCTCTCTCTCTCTCTGTGGCTCTGCTTAGCCAATTCTAATAAGTGGAGATTTGATTTTCTATCCCAACTAGAGAAATTTTATTTCACCTCTCTTTGCGGGCAAGTTTGATTTTAACGTGTAGATAAAATGTTAGTTGGAATCAGCTGAGCAAACATGACTACATAAAGGTCAAAGAAGCTATAAAGAGAAGCAAAATAACTTAAAACTAATGTAAGAAACAATTTCTAACACAAATTACAATTTTTGCATGTTATATAATTTCTTAGTCCTCACACATTATAATAACCGTGTCTTAGTTATATTTTGTCTTTTTGTTGCTTTATATTGTACAATTTCCCCATCATACACAATACTAAGATCAAACAACAATGAACATAGTGCCTCACATTGTTAATTTCAATAAATGTCCATAGAAAGGAGCTATAAAGAAAAGCTAACATGACCTGCCAGACAAAGCAACTAGCACCATGAAGCCAGTAAATGAAACGAAAGATCTTGACTCCAAGGTCGCTAATTTCGTGAAATTAATGCCAACTTCATAAAAGCTATACTAAATGAAGTTATTTCATTGTAGTCCATGTTTGTTTAGAAAACTTCTAACATTTGACGAGCAAATCTCCATTTCTCTGTATCTAATGCATCTATCCCAACATTAGTGCAAAAAGCAATTTTAGCAACAATTAAAAAGTTATTTTCATGACACAAAACAAAGTGTAATAGTAATTACAGAATTTTCGCTCCTAGAATTGTCGTGATAATAGATAATTACAATGACAGTTTGTTCCTAGAACTGTCATGTTAATTGGGTTTTTTTAAATATAATTATTTGCACAATATCAACCCTTAATTTAACAATTAAAATTTTTATTTAAATAAAATTCTAATTTCAAATGGCTTACACATAAATGATAAATAATACATTAAAATTTAATTACAAATTACATGCATGAATGATTTATTGAGATGGTCTCTTAAACCTAATCCTCTTACTATCTGTCTCACTCTCTGCTCAAGTATTATTAACACATATTTATGGATTCCAAACTAGCTTTGGGCTCTTATACCCTACTAGCTCTCTTCCTGCAATATTATTATTGGGTTGCACCATTGATGAATTAGGCCAAGTGAGTGGATGGCCTAAGTTGAGTTAAATTATTGTTTATATTAATAATTATTTATATTATCTAATAGATGGTTACCCTAATATTTGGAGGGAGAAGCTATTTGTTTTTTAAATAAACAATAACTTCCTATTGTCAGTTAGTGATATACCAGGTTATCTAATCACGTGTATAGATAACTTGTAACACCTTTAGAATTTAAACCTGATTAACCAAGCCTGATTTAAGTAATTAAGTTTATTAGTAAGATGTGTGGCCAAAAAGATCTAAGGGGCATGTTTGGTTGTAATTTTAGCCCTAAATGCAGATCCAAAGTGAAGCAAGATCACCTGAACATGGAAAAGGAAGAAAATCTGAAAGGTGAGGTTTTGTGCCACATATCGCAACTTGTGGATGATTTGTCATGGCGTGTGTGCCAATGTATCTAGGCAAGCCTTCTTTGTGCTATACACCGCAGCACATCACTTTTTTGTAAAAATAAGAATGCGAATATTGACGTAGAAGAAGAGAGAAACAAAAAAGAAACGAAGGAACAACAAAAGAGCTCTATTAGGACTTGTAAGATTCGAATATTTGAAGTGTTTAAGAGTTTCTAAACACTAGAGGTAAGTTTCTCAAGCCTAAATCGACCTTTGTCTTCCATTTTCTCTAGTTGAGGAATTAGAATTCAATTAATAATGATGATTTTTGGTTCATAAAGACTATAGGTCTAAACCCATTGACTTAAATGGAATTAATGAGAGTTATTTAAGCTATTTAAACCTACCATTTATGATTTTATGAGTATTGGTAGTTGGGGGCATTAAATACTCAAAAAGTCTATCATAAATATGATAGTTAGAGTAATGTGGTTCCATTAATGATTATTTAAAAGTTCAATGAGATTAATGGAAGCTAGGGAAAGCTAAGGGAAGTTAAGAAATCTTATAGGTACCCTTGATGGGAAGAGATTGAATTTTAGGGGTGAAGAAGTGTTTGAGTTAATAGAAAAATTTATCCAAAAAGGAATATTGATGAATTATATTGTGATTAATTGTAGAGTGAGCATATTTGTCACCATTAAAGCTTTGTAGAAGCTTTGAGAGAGAGTAATTAAGGGGCAAAACATTTGACCTCTCAAGATTTGAAAAAACCGAGGAAATTCTGTCTTGTCCTCTTATGTGTTAATTGATTTATTGATTGTGCTTTACAATTGAAACGTGTGAAATTTCTTAATGCAAGTGAGGCATGAAATGTTACAAATTGATATTAAAGTTTTACAGAGTTCAATGGCATGGGTTGTGGAGTTTGATGATTATGATTAGTTGGAGTACAATGATAGTGAAAATGTGAAATTCTATAGATTAATGTTAGTAGAGTTCCATGACTTGTTTTATTGGAGTTTAATGATGCAATTATGTGATGAATATGCATAATGAGAGTACGATAAGATAATTGAGCATGCTTGGATAGTAAACACTTGCATGTTATGGGTTATGCATACTTATGAATTACATGATCATAAGAGGTGATTGGTGTGTCGCTCAACCCTTAAAATTAACTAGAACTAACCTGAATGTGGTACTTAGGCCAAACCTAGGCCTTCTAATAAAGAGGAGGTTCTAACCCTTAATCAAGAAAACTTAGTAAATAGATTGACCATGTGATTGAATTTGTTACCTAATTAACTAGTGAATCAAAGTGCAAACTAAACCTAAAAGTGTATGATTACACTTTAACTTTCCTTATCAAGTAAGAAGCCTAGGACATTACTAATGGTAGAATCCTAACATCTAATTGATTATGGCAACTTACTTAAACTTCTCCCCATTAGTTGAATACATTGGTTACTCAAGACAACTATCTTAAGCAATCTAGTTTCACTAATTCAATTCCCTAAGTACTAATTACAAGCCCTTAATAACTTCATTAGCTTAGCTTAAAAATTAACTAAGTGTTTAATTGAATTTCACTCCCCAAACAGCCATGGTCCAAAGGTAACTCAAGCACAAAACTATGCAACTCAAGCATTTAATCAAACATTCACCAAACATAACTAATACAAGGTTAATGTAAGACCAATATCACTTGAAATTCACATTTACATGTAAAATTAATCAAGTAGTTGAAAATCCAATTACTAAAAGGAGAAGAAATCAATTCAACAATCATATTCCAATATAGCCATTCAAACTAATTATGAACTAGAGTCAAGACGAAGTGCAAATTAACCATAGTCATAGTCTACAAATTAAAATG